CCTTCTAGTGTAGTTTTCATTTCAGTTATTGTATTGTTCATCTTTGTTTGTTCTTTAATTCTTCTAGGTCTTTGTTAAACATTTCTTATACCTTCTCGATCTTTGCCTCCATTATTTTTCCGAGGTCCTGGATCATCTTCACTATCATTCTGAATTCTTTTTCTGGAAGGCTGCCTATCTCCACTTCATTTAGTTGTTTTTCTGGGGTTTTATCTTGTTCCTTCATCTGGTACATAGCCCTCTGCCTTTTCATCTTGTCTATCTTTCTGTGAATGTGGTTTTTGTTCCACAGGTTGCAGGATTGTAGTTCTTCTTGTTTCTGCTGTCTGCCCTCTGGTGGATGAGGCTGTCTAAGAGGCTCGTGCAAGTTTCCTGATGGGGGGGACTGGTGGTGGGTAGAGCTGACTGTTGCTCTGGTGGGCAGAGCTCAGTAAACTTTATTCTGCTTGACTGTTGATGGCTGGGGCTGGGTTCCCTCCGTGTTAGTTGTCTGAGGCGCCTGAGGCGACCGAACACTGGAGCCTACCCAGGCTCTTTTTGGGGGCTAGTGGCAGACTCTGGGAGTCTCACGCCAAGTAGTACTTCCCAGAATTTCTGCTGCCAGTGTCCTTGTCTTCACGGTGAGACACAGCCACCCCCTACCTCTGCAGGAGACCCGCCAACACTAGCAGGTAGGTCTGGTGCAGTCTCCTATGGGGTCACTGCTCGTTCCCCTGGGTCCTGATGCTCACACAACTTTGTGTGTGCCCTCCAAGAGTGGAGTCTCTGTTTCCCCCAGTCTTGTCGAAGTCCCGCAATGAAATCCCGCTAGCCTTCAAAGTCTGATTCTCTAGGAATTCCTCCTCCCATTGCCAGACCCCCAGGTTGGGAAACCAGACGTGGGGCTCAGAACCTTCACTGCAGTGGGTGGACTTCTGTGGTATAAGTATTCTCAGTTTGTGAGTCACCCACCCAGCAGTTATGGGATTTGATTTTATTGTGATTGCGCCCCTCCTATCACCTCACTGTGGCTTCTCCTTTGTCTTTGGATGCAGGGTATCTTTTTTGGTGAGTTCCAGTGTCTTCCTGTCAATGACTGTTCAGCAGTTATTTGTGATTCAGGTACTCTCACCAGAGGGTGTGAGAGCATGACCTACTCTGACATCTTGAACCAATCTCAGGCCTTCTATTACCTTTTATTTCTAGTCCTATCCCATGCCCATTATTTCAGACAGTCTCTCTTTTCCTTGAAGTATCACTTTTTCTGGAAGAAGGCAATTTGAAGTTATTTTTTCTGCAAATATTAGTTAAGACAGTCTTAAAACTCATAAAAACTGAGGGTATCATTTTAACCCAGGATTTCTTAACCTTGGCACCATTGCCATTTTTCGTTAGATAACTGTTGTGGGGACTGTCCTGTGTGCACAGTTGGATGTTTAGTAGCATCCCTGGCCTCTACGCACAAGATGCTCATGGCACTCTTCCCACCCCCCTCCCCCAGTTGTAATAAATAATGTCTCCAGATATTGCCTAATGTCCCCTGGGGGCAGATCTTCCCCTCCACCATCATCAAGACCCACTGCTCAAGCCTATCTCAGTGGAGACACTCTCATCTCTCTTAAAGATCTTTTTTTTCATATCTAAGATATATGTGGATAGAGAGAAAGCAGTCATGTTACTGAGAATAATTCTCTCTACTTACTCCTTTTTCCCTTTACTCAGTTCATTTCATTACATTTTTCTTCTCTTCTTTAAGTGGTATGTGAGATTGTGATATCTTCAGTAACGAACTGCTACTGATATCATAAAGCTTGTCTCTGGAGGCAGTGTAGAATCCTCTTGAAGAGCACGGCTTTGGTTGGATTTCTGGTTTTGCCATTCTTGGTAATATGATATTGGAAAAGCCACTGGATCTCTCTCAGATTCATCATAACCTGTAAAGTGGGAATAATGACACCTACTTCATTTGGTTATTGTGAGGATTAAGTAAAAATATTACTTAAGCATTTAGCATAACTCCATTCATAATAAGTGCTCAAGTAGTACTATTCACATATAATAGAAATAATTTTAGAGACATATTTTGAAAATCTCAACATACCCATAGAAACATGCCAGTCATAAAAATGATATTAAGCTATTCAAAATACAAATCGAGATGCTCAGTTTTGTTCCTTGCCAAGGCAACAAAAGGGATAAAGGAAAAATTAGCTTTCTGTTTGGACTGTGGGAATTAAGACAATTATTGCTATAATGGAAATCATATTACAGTATATGAGTACCAAATCAACATGTTCTACACCTTAAATTTACACAATGTTATATATCAGGTATATTTCAATAAAAAATTCAAAATAAATGCATTACAGAATGGCAAAAAAGTCATTTGCTAGCTTAAATATTTTTTAAGTGTGTGTGTGTTTGACAAAATGGAGAAACTTTACCTTGAACACTTGAAGTACACACTCAATACAATTCTGTTGATAAAAAGGATGCTGGAATAAGATAATAAAAATGTAAAACATGATCCTTACTGATTAAAGGACTTTAATTTTCCACTATGAAATTAGTTTATTAAGACTAAATAAAAAGATTTTGTGCATATTTGCCATTTTAAATTTAGTCTTTTTGCGAAATTTTCTGAGACCTTCTTTCTAGATTCAGCTTCTATGTGAAGTCTTTCCTGGGTACCACATGTGCTTTCAAGATCTCTCTTATGTGCTCCCATACACGGCCTTTATATTTCCGTTTAGCATTCTCTCTATTGTAATATGACCAACAGTTTGCATGTCTGTCTCACCATTAGCTATCTATTCCTGGCAGAAAGAATCATAATTATCTTTCTTCTCACAAGCCTAGCACTCAGTCATTGCTGGTTAAAGAAATTTTCAGGTGAAAAAAATAACTAGACCTAAAATGAAAAGATTGACTGGTGGTGAAGTTTAGTAATTAACACAAGTGGAGCTATAAGAGTTCCATATCAATGTAATACTTTGATTTTTAAAAATAATAAGTTTAATCAGTAAATCAATATCGTTCAATGAGCAAATGTGTATTGAGTGTTTATGGTTTGCAGGCACTATTTTAGGTGATGGAGAGACAGTAGTGAACAAAGCAGATAAGATCTTTGATTTCCTGGAGCTTAATAAACTCCAATATGTGAGGCATTATGCTTTCTCAGTCATTCACAAAATGACAGGTATACACATGAGTCAGGCACACATTGAACTAATTTTTGGAAAGATGAATGATATTTTCTATGTACTGTTAATAAGAAGTGAACTTGGAGTTATTTCTTGAACTGACCTTTAATATCTAGGAATTTCTGAAGATGGAGTTACATTTACTTTGTAAAAGGTCAACTTCACCTAGTATGGGGTAATTTTTATTTTATGCCTTCTTTGTTTGTGCTGTTGCAGTTTTTGTCAATGGCTGTTTAGATCACAGGTGGCCCATCGTGTGGTGTCAGTACTTCTCTGGTGTCAGTATTTCTCCAAGGCAAGAGAATGGGTAATAGATTTCAGTGGCTTCTTTCAGAAATAGAATTAACTCAGTTAGTTATTCCCATGACAATGCTGTGTAACAAACCAGCCCAAAACTCAGTGGCTTAAGATAATAGCCACTTAAGTTCATGAATCTGTAGGGTCAGCTAGGGTGGCTCTGCCATATACTGCATATCTCAATGCCCTAGTCTGCTCTGCATGCCTCTCAGCCTCCCTGGACAAGTGGACTTCTCCAGGGCATGTTCTCCTCATGGGGATGGCACAGAGGACATTCACAAACACTTGAGCCCTCCTGACAACTAGGCTGGAACTGGCACACTTTTATTTCTGTCTACACTCTTTTGGCCCAAACAAGCCAAGTGGCAAAGCTCGGGCTCAAAGGACAGGGGAGTACCTTCCACTCCCAGTGAAGCAAAGACAAAGGTGTAGATGCTAGGAGAGTAAGAATTGGAACTGATAATCAATCTGTCATAATGATCCTATGATTTCCTTTGGCAGAATAACAGAGAGATAGAAATAGATGAGAAACTACACTTGTTCAGCTATTTATTTTGCTATACTGAAGGCACTTGTCTAAAAAGAGGGTCATTTTGGAAGTTTTATATATAGGAATTTAAAAATTGGTGGGCTAAATATGTGTGATCATATAATCTCTAAAGTCATGTTTTTCTAATTGTGATTAGTAACATTATTTAGGTGGGAACCCTACTCATTTGAAAAAAATGAAATAGAATAAAATAGAGAGTGTTAGTGAATTGAATGAGCTAAGGATATTTTTAATGAAAACATTTGCTTCTGTTACAAATGTGTACTTACATGTGTGTTGAGTCATTATCTAAAATGCATTTTTTTCCTATCGTGGTTAAAAAATTTTGAAAGCCACTGCCTTAAATTTTTTTCTAACTATAAGATGTTATTGGGTTTAAATACAGTCTGATTTTTAAAAATATTCCTTTGTCAGGTACAAGTCATCTATTTTGGAAGTGAGGTGGGTTTTTTGGTTGTTTTTTTTTTAGTGCTATTATCTGCATTGTACAGATGTCTAATACAGGAGTACTTTTTTTCAAATCAATCAACAATTAAGGCAGTTTTAATGGACATGTGGTTTCATTTATATGCTGTTAACACCCATGACTGTGGCTCCTGGTGGCTCACGCTTGAGACTATTTTTAAAATAATGGTAATATTTACCTTCTCTAGTTTGCTCACTGCTAGCTTCCTGATGCTGGTTTAGAGTAAAAGCACCTTCCACTTATCTTTCTCAATAGTGTACTGTTACCTTGTTTCAGAAAGATTTATTATCAGCTTATCTTTTTCAGATTTTAATATCTGCGTCATTCTGTCTGCGTTAACTGCGGTCTACCATAGAGCCGCAGTGGCTCCACCTGCAGCAGGTGTACGGGAGACACGTGCAGACAGCTTCCTCCCAAAGGTTGTGTTTCTGCTCATCCACTCGCTCTGTAACCCTTTCCTGAAAAGGTAGGTCTGAAGGCGATGAACGGCCTCGCCAAATCACACAGACTAGCCTGGAGGCCCAGGTAATCTTTTACAGGGAGAGTGCTCAAGAGAATAAGACTTATCAATGGTTTCGTACTTATTCATACATTAAAATTTAGGATTATTTATTGGGAAGATTCACAAGGCTTCTGTCATATTAGTAGGAAAGGATAAAAAGAGTTACATATTTTTAAATAGCTTGCTTTACATGTGCTTTTAAAAATATTTCACTTTTATTAAAAATTCACCTGTGTGAAGCTAGAAAATTTGAAAAGTTGAAACATGATTTTTAAAAATCTCCTTTCCTTGTAAATGAAGAAGGAAATTCCATGTTGTGTTTGTTGGCTGGTTTTAATATAATAGAGGAGTCTTCATGGAGATTTTTCAGGTTTTAAAATTAAACTGTATCTTATTGTTCCTATATACTAAACTACAGAACTAAAATCTTACTTGCACAAATATTATTTGGTGGGAAAAATCCTGGCACATTTCTGAATGACTTCCTGCTTTAATGTGTGTGCCTCTGTCTGTGTGTAGGTGTGTGTGTAGGTGTGTGTGTCCCTGTACATGGTATTTTAAAACACCTCAATTTTTTTCCTTTACTTGACAGGATCTGATTGACATCTTTCTATGTCTTATAAAAAGAACCAACTCTTCCAATTTGACATCTTGTTGAACATATATCTACTGAGGTTCATGGTATAAGTTCAGACAATTTTACTTAAGGTCTGATATAAGTTCAGACAATTTTACTTTTTACTTTTGTTGCTGTAATGAAAATCATTGCACCAAACATTTGCTAGATCAAACAATTTGGCATCTTGAACTTCAAAAAATACAGCTGGAGAATTTTTCCAAAATTAAATTATTAGTTATGCATCTTACAATCTGGTCAAGAAGATTAACTCGCCAGCTATTCACCAGTGCTGTTAACAACTAGGGGTTATTGACATAGTTGAAAAATTTTTTTAATTTAATTTAATTTTTTTTTATACAGAAGGTTCTTACTAGTTATCTATTTTATACACAGTTGAAAATTTAAATTCCAGGTTAATATTATGTATTAATATTTCTTGAAATTTGTTTTTTCCATTTCAGAAATCCTTTTTTAACAGTATTGTATTGCGTCATATTATCATAATTCTTTTTGATATAAACTAAATCCCAATTTAGATAATATTACTCACTATTGTTGCTCTTACTCTTAATCTTTTGCTATTTAGAAATTTTTGTTTTGATTTAATTTTTATATTGTTAGAATATGTTCTAGAGACTTTCAGAAGGTGGTCATAGACATATATTTGCTGTCCTTTTTCTGCCTTCATATGATTACTATTTTGGCTGAATATAGGATTGTTGAGTTGCCATCCTATTTCCTTAATAGTTTCTAAGCTCATTCCACTGCCCTCTGGCTTCCAAAATTACAGATGAGAATCCCTGTGTTAGACTGATCCTCCTTTTCTTATTTTTTAAAAACAGCATTATTGAGTTATAATTGATATTCAAAGAACTGCACATAATTTATGTGTACAATTTGATGAGTTTGGACTTATCAAAACACCTGTGATACCATCACCGCAATCAAGGAACTTCTATCTGAATGCCTATAATATTTTTCCTTTATCTTTGGAATCAGATCCATGCTATGCGTATGTGCCTTAATTTTTATTGGCCCCAGGGAGCACAGAATTGAGCTAATGAACCCCTCAGTTTATTTGTTCATTCATTCAATCCTTTATTCATTTTCGTGTTCATTTCATGCTCATTTTGTGCTCATTTTCCAGGCCCTGGGGCCATAGCAGTGAATAAAGCCGTCTATTCCCTTACCACACACTATTTCTGTTTGTTCCATTTCATCTTATTTTTTGTTCACCCTTCACCCCCCTCCTCCTTCTGCCCATAGTGACAGTCTAGAGTATATCTTTTTTATATTGATTTAAATATACATGTAGTCTTCAAACAGCCTCGCGATGGTTCTTATACCTTCCCTCAACACACCCTTAACGTTCCCCTTGGATGTTTATTTATTTGATAAACACTATGTACAAGATACTATTATAAGCACTTTGCAAATATTAACTTATTTCAGCCTCATAGAAGCCCAGGAAATAGATTGTTTTTCCACATTATCGAACTATGGCCCCAAGAGGTTGGGTAGAATGTCCAAGGCCACAGAACTAGTGAATGGCCCACCCCAGACTTAAACAAAGGCAGCTAGGTACTAAAGGCCATGCTATTCAGCACACAGCCCCAGCCTCCAAGTTCAAAACTGAACTCTTGACTTCCTCCTGCTTCTTACGCTCCTCTAACCGCCATCTTCCCATCTCAGTAAATGGGACCTCCACCCTACAAGCTGCCCAGAGCAGAAGCCTTGCTATTTCCCTTGATAACTTTCTCCCAACACATATTCAGTCTATCTGTAAATCCTGCCTGCTGTACTTTCAGAACATATCCAAACTTGACCACTGCCCTTCTCTAAACCACCATCTTCTTTCACCAGGTTATTTTAGCGGCTTCCTAATCATCTGACTTTGTCCTTGCCCTCTGCCCCTGTTCTCGACACAGCAGCCAGAGTGAATCTGTTGCAATCTGTCAGAGCATGTTACTGGATTCCAAACCCTCCAATGTTTTCCTTTCTCACTCAAAGGCAAAGCTGAAATTCTTACTGTGGGCCCTATTCAATGTAGCCCTGTGCAGCTTCTCTGGCCTCTCCATCGATTTTTCTCTGCTTTCATTGCTCTTCTCCAACCACATTGACATCTGCTATTTTGCAAACATACTAGGCATGCTCCCACCTCAGGGCCTTTGCACTTGCTGACCCCTCTACCTGGATTGGTCTTCTCCCAGATAAACAGTTGTTTATTCTTAGTTTCCTTTAAGGTATCAAGTGACCTCTGCCTTGAACTCCCCAGGAAATTAACTGCTCCACATTTTCTGTTTGGGGACTACTTTTGTATGTCTATTTAGCTTGTGCATTCGGGTAAGGACATACAAGTACCTATACCTGGTGGAAGGTTCTACATTATTGCAACTCCAGGCCATTCTGCTGGCATTTCCTTGAAGGGCTTCCCGTTTCCTCGTGGTAAGGGGCAGGAGATCTTGACTTCTCTGTAAAACCGCTTGGGAACTCAGGTGACATTCTCCTGTAAGGGTTGGGCATGCTGCGGAATTCCTCATCTAAGCCTATACACCTTCTGCCTCTCCCAGGCTCTATTCCCCTGGACCCCAGTGATTGCAGCTGGGTTTTTAAAAGGCTATGACTTTCCTCTCCTGACTCTATGATTGCCTTTTTCAAAGGACACTGTGGACCTCCTTTCCTTTTGCTTTATAATGAATTCTCACACCTGGTTGTAAACAGAATAATCTTCTCCTCTGTCAACATCTTCTATTGAACATTCTCTCCACACCTTCCACAGAATTTGTTCACATTCTTTACGTTTTATGAAAGAGTAGTGAGGAGGGAAACAATTCACCCCTTCTTGGCTTAGAAGCTATATGTTAAGTCAAGACACTAAAAGTAAATCAAAAAGGAAGGGGAAAAAAGGAGGAGAAGCCAGGAAACCAGTTGGGAGGCTACTAATTTGACAGTGGTTAGTGATAAGTTTATGGCTATGGTACAAGTGATGAGAAATGGTCTGATTCTGGACATACTTTCAATGAAGAGTCAAGGTATTTACTGAAGGTTGGCTATATTGTTGAGTGTGAGAGAGAGAAGTAAAGAATTACTTCAGTGTTTGGGACTGAAGATTTTCAAGAATGGAGTTGCCATTTCTAGACGTTAGGGAGGAAGAGGAGTTTAACACATATTATGGGGGAGATTAGAGACTTGGCTTTAGACATAAGTGGTGATATTCTCCAGGCAGCAGGAAATTTTAGTTCAGAGTTCAGGGGGGAAGTTAAGGCTGGAGATATTCATTTGAGACTCTTTTTTAAAGTCATGAGACTATAAGAAATAACCTAGGGAGAAGCTGTAAATAGAGAAGAGAACCAAGGACTAGCCTTAGGGCCGGTGACTTGAGGAAGAACCAGTAATGAGACTATAAAGAAGAGCTAGTGAGTTAACAGAGCTCCAAGAGGGAGGTGAGTTGGAGCCAAGGAAGAAGTTGTTTCAAGAAGTAACTGAGGGGTCATCAAGATGAAGACTGAGAGTTTACCATTGGGTTTAGTAATATAGAACAATATGGTTAAGATTGTTTTGGTGAAGTGTTAATGACAAAAGTCTCATTAGAGTGGATTCAAAAGGTTAGGAAGAGAATAACTGAAGACAAGGAGTCTACATGACTCTTTCAAAGATGTTTTCTTTTTTCATAAAGGGGAGAAATAAGGTGACAATTGAAAGATGTGGGTTTAAAATAATTCTTTTTAAGATGGAATATTACTACATTTTTTGAACACTAGAGTTAATTATTTAGAAGAGAACTCCTGAAGATTCAGGGGATAGAGGAGAATTGGAGGGTATATTCTTGAACAGGCATGAAAGGGTGCCTATAGGACACATATGAAGGGGCGGCTCTGATGGGAGATGGTTAGTTCATTTGTAGTAATAAGAGGGAAGGTTGAGCATATGAACAGATGTAAGCTGGTGTAGGGGTAGAGGTGGGAATATGGACATTCTCTTCTGATTGCATCTATTTTCTCATTGAAACAAGATACAAGGTCATTAACTGAGAATGAGGATGAGGAAAGTATTTGAGATTGAAGGAGGGAGGTGGTATGAAATAGTCATCTCGAAGAGTGGGAGAATGAATGTAATAGGGAACTGGGTAGGATTCTTCAGCAGTTCGAATGGTTCATACCTGTCATGAGTTTAATCTGAGGCCGATTGTGTGTTTTTCTCCATCATGTTCAGTTGCACATGTGTAGTACAGTAAGAGGCAAACTCGATTTAACAAGGGGTCAAGTTTAGCCAGAAAAGTGTATTAATGGGAGAGAGTTTAAAATAATGTTAAAAAAATTTGGAATCTACACTAGGTAAAGAGGTGAGTGTAAGTAAATGAGGAACAGTGAAAAGGTGATAAGATAAATGAATTATGGGCTTCAAGCAGGTTGAACAAGTGTTGGAAGTAGAGCATTAGTGGCATGGCCTGGGAAGACAAAGGGTGGAACTTGAAATTAATCATTTGGAATGGCTTCATTATCGATAATGGCAGATTCTGGGGATGGCTATGAAAGTGTGAGATAATATGGAGTGGAGGACATGCTTGTTGGAAGACAGAGGGTTAAAGAGCTGAAAGTCCGTTATTGGATCATTTATGTGGACAAGAAAATTATCAAGAATTTTGTCAGGAGTAGCCTTGGAGAAAGTGACGGTAGACTAGGAGTTAACATCTTCAAGACAGAGAGACATGACTTGGAAGTCTGAGGTCTGCAGCAAGAAGAGGTATAGTTTGAACACAGAACTTCAGAGTTTGCAAGGGGTGGAGGTTAGGAAGGAAAGACGGAAAAGTATCCGCAATGTCAATGAGTACAAGAGGATGCTTAGTTTTCCTCTAAGTCCTGTAATATAAAGGGTAGCTAGGGATACAGGTGAGAAAACAGCTGCCTTTGACAAGTCTGTAGGGGATGAGATATCCTCAGGGGAAAGATGGTTTTAGTTAGAACAAAGAGAGGGAAGCATTTAATAAAGAGCTTGAGGAAGTAGGGTGATGACCATGAGTTCTGGAGGGCACACTTGGAATGGTTTTGGGGAGGGCGGGTAACGGGTAGGTAGATTGGGAGATGGGTTCACACTAGGAATTGTATAGAAAAGTTTGGGATTGAGAGTCTGAACCATTAGAGATGGGTGGTTGAAGGAGCCAGAGACAAAGGGCATGGTGAACTTAGTGCTGATGGCCCATTATTGGGAAGTTGGGGCCACTCAACCAGTGAGTTCCTGTCCTGCTAGACAGATCTACTTTAAACTATAATGCTTACCAATATATTTTTAAATCGTACGTCATTTTCAAACATTAGGTGATTAGATCATTTGCACAGAACTGTTTGCTTAGCTAGGTAATTAAAGAGAGATTTATTAACTTTCCTTATTACTACTGTATGTTCAACTTGGTAATTTTTATTTTATTTTATTTTTTTTTTGTGGTACGCGGGCCTTTCACTGTTGTGGCCTCTCCCGTTGCGGAGCACAGGCTCCGGACGCGCAGGCTCAGCGGCCACAGCTCACGGGCCTAGCCGCTCTGCGGCATGTGGGATCTTCCCAGACCCGGGCATGAACCCGTGTCCCCTGCATAGGCAGGCGGTCTCTCAACCACTGCGCCACCAGGGAAGCCCCAACTTGGTAATTTTTACATACAGAGAGTAATCATTTCTAGCTAGCTAAAATTTTAGAGCTGGAAGAAAAGAAACAAAAACACTATTATGTCATGTTTTTAGGTAAGCACTCAACTCAATATCATCATAGGGCATTTATTTAAACAAGTCAATCTTTTTAAAAATAAATTATAACAAAAATTACTTGCACAAAAATTATGTGTAATGTTCTTAAAGTTGGTCAGACAACTTACTCTTCTGAAATGTCATTGGTATTATCAATAATTTCCCAGATACCATGCTTCAGGCTCTATTCTCTAAAACCAGGATGTTACCATTATGAGGAGGAAGCCATTTGGTTTTTATCTGGGAATGAAGAACATGGCATACAAAATTGTCAGATGACTTTTTCATCATCTATGAAGGTAGTCTTCTAAAACTGAACAACAAGTTTTTTTCCCCTTTTCATCTTCCCTTACTTATTTTTGGACCCTAGTTCCCGCTGAGTAAAGCTAGTCAATGGGATATCAGGTAGGAATGTTTTCTTGACTGGTAGTAATTATTAGCAAACAGTTCTAAACACTGATTACAAGTGTGTTGCTTGGTTCCTTCAATGTCAACAGCAAAAGTAAGAGAAAGAAGAAAAGGGGGGAAATAGAAAAAAAAAAAAGTCCAAGTAGAAGATTTATAACTCTAAATGATAGTTTAGTTGAGTGAACACAAATTTCATAGTAAAAACTCCATCGTTCTTTTAGCAAAATTTTAATTGTAATTCAAATATTACAGAGCTCAGATAATATAAATAGATTTCGTCTGCAATTTGTTCTGTCATAAAGTGGGTCTGGGTGTTTATTGAAATAAATCTTACAGATGTACTTGATATGAATATGTTTCCTCCTGAGAAGAGAAGGCAGAAAGGGATTAGGGGGAGAGATACTTCAAATTTACTAAAATATGCATTTTAGTTCCTAAATATCTTATTCCTCCAATTCTAGTTTTGGATAAGTTTCGATTTCTATGTGGTCTTGACCTAAACTGTCAGCCCAGAGGGAATAAGAGCCAAAGAGGAGGGTGGACTCCTGGAATGCTAAGACTTGTTGTTATTTTCCAGCATTTTCACAAATAGTGACAGGTTGTTCATTGACAGCCAGAATTTACATTCTTCCTCCAAACTCTCTCTCTCCCCCTCTTTTTATATTTATAATACATAATTATATAATGTATTATATATTACACATAATATGTATTGTACGTGTATTGAAAAATGTATTGCAAATTCGAGAATTTAGCTGAGTATTACAGAATTACAGAATCATATATTTCAAACGAATAATTCAACTTTGCATTTCCAGCACAGTGAGCAGCATCAAGTAGATGTTAAAAATAATTGCAGGTGGCGCAGTGGTTGAGAGTCCGCCTGCCGATGCAGGGGACACGGGTTCGTGCCCCGGTCCAGGAAGATCCCACATGCCGTGGAGCGGCTGGGCCCGTGAGCCATGGCCGCTGGGCCTGCGCGTCTGGAGTCTGTGCTCCACAACGGGAGAGGCCACAACAGTGAGAGGCCCGCGTACCACAAAAAATATATATATATAATAATAATAATTGTAGAACTGAACTACTGAACTAAACTTGGAAATAAAAGCTCTTTCCAAAATAATCATTTTTCAGCAAGAAGTAATAGGTAAATGTGTTAAAAGTGAGAAGAATCAAATCGCTGATGATTTCCTTTTTTTTATCCTCCCAGGTTTCTGGGATACATATATGGAAATAAAAGAAGGAACTCTAACCTGATCATGGATTTCGAAGAAAGACTCCTCAACACACAAAGGAAAAGATAATAACTAGTGCACAGCCCTCAGGAATGATGTCCTTTTGCCACAATATAATTAATATCTCCTGTGTGAAAAGCAGCTGGTCAAATGACGTCCGTGCTTCCCTGTACAGTTTAATGGTGCTCATAATTCTAACCACAGTGGTTGGCAATCTAATAGTTATTATTTCTATATCACACTTCAAGCAACTTCATACCCCAACTAATTGGCTCATTCATTCCATGGCCACTGTGGACTTTCTGCTGGGGTGTCTGGTCATGCCTTATAGTATGGTGAGATCTGTTGAGCACTGCTGGTATTTTGGAGAAGTCTTCTGTAAAATTCACACCAGCACTGATATTATGCTGAGCTCAGCATCAATTTTTCATTTGTCCTTCATTTCCATTGACCGCTACTATGCTGTGTGTGACCCATTGAGATACAAAACTAAGATCAACATGTTGGTTATTTTTGTGATGATCTTCATTAGTTGGAGTATTCCTGCTCTTTTTGCATTTGGAATGATCTTTCTGGAGCTAAACTTCAAAGGAGCTGAAGAGATGTATTACAAACACATTCACTGCATAGGGAGTTGCTCTGTCTTCTTCAGCAAAACATCTGGGGTTCTGGCCTTTCTGACTTCTTTCTATATACCTGGCTCTATTATGATATGCATCTATTGTAGAATATATTTCATAGCGAAAGGGCAGGCAAGATCAATTCATGATGCAAATCAGAAATTTCGAATTGGGTTGGAAGAGAAAAATGGAATTTCACGAAGCAGAGAAAGGAAAGCTACGAAGACTTTAGGGACTGTGATGGGAGTTTTCTTCACATGCTGGTGTCCTTTCTTTGTCTGCACAGTCATGGATCCTTTCCTGGACTATACTATTCCACCCATCCTGAACGATGCATTTATTTGGTTTGGCTACTTGAATTCCACTTTAAATCCAATGGTTTATGCATTTTTCTATCCCTGGTTCAGAAGAGCACTGAAGATGATTCTATTTGGTAAAATTTTCCAAAAAGATTCATCTAGATGTAAATTATTTTTAGAATTAAATCCATAGAATTATTAGACTTTACTGTTTGGCCAACAGTTGGTGATCATATTTATGAACACAACATAATATCAACCACATGCACCAGCTACAGGGGCTTTTATCAAGTATTAGGGTCAAAGATTGTGTAGTTAGATATGATGCTTATATCTTGCTTCCTATTTGCCATTCTTATTATACATATTGAAGCTTTACAAGCCCAGAATTTAGGGACTTGTATTTTAAAGAACTTCTCCTGACCTTACATGAACTGCCATGAAATTGACAGTGGTACCTTACTCAGTTGTTCAGTGGTGGAAACTAAGAGGCTACATTTGGGGATGCAAATTAGAAGAGATTTGTCATTCCTTTGCTTGAATATATATGCCTTTTTGTAAAATCAACTGAAAGTACACATTAAATGTTACTATTAAGTAATTGTTTACACATAATTTGCTATTTATCATTAATTCTTATTTATATATTCTAATTCTTAAATCTCAATTTTTATATTTTAAAAATATGTTTTTTTCTGATTTTCATACTTGTAGGAAATTTAGAAAATAAAGTAAAAAATAAAAATAATATATCACATAGAAACAAAATGAAATTAAAATATCACTCAGAGCTCACTTCCTGAAAGAACCATATCATTCAAAATCCTTAAAAACTTGGGGCTTCCCTGGTGGCGCAGTGGTTGAGAGTCCGCCTGCCGATGCAGGGGACAGGGTTTGTGCCCCGGTCCGGGAAGATCCCACATGCCGCGGAGCGGCTGGGCCCGTGAGCCATGACCGCTGGGCCTGCGCGTCCGGAGCCTGGGCTCCGCAGCGGGAGAGGCCAGAACAGTGAGAGGCCCGCGTACCGCTTCTTAAAAACTTAATTTTTGGTGACTGTATAAGGCTACATTGTATGGATGCACAAAACTTTTTTTTAACCGTTTTCCCATTGTTGACCACTTAGTTCATTTTGATTCCTTTTTTTCAAACAATAGAAATTAATTCCTGTTACCTGTTACTGAAGCTCATGAAAATGTCTGGAAGATTTCACCATATTTCAAGGTCGTGGCTGGTGCGGTAGGACTCAAAACACAAGCCATAGGAAAAAAAACAAATTCACTTGTTGGGCTCCAGTCTACACGGAAAGAGAAGCAGCTATCCATCAAAGCAGCTAAACATGAAGGATAAGAAGAGGTATAATCGGACACGGAGTATGCCATGTCTATTAAGGTGTCATATACAAGAGAAAAAAGAGGAAAAATAGTGGTTTCAAGTAAGATCTTATAGAAGTGGGCCAACATTCTTAATCATAAGTACCCATTTGCAGTTGAGCTGTTTCTCATCCAGACTTCATGTCGTTTTTATTACGTTGAGTAGCACCAGGGATTTGAATTTATCTATTTAATAACTGTGACTTATGCTCATGGGTAAGTTAGGGTAAGGCAGCTAATTTTAAATGAAACTAAAATGCATGTTCCTGTATATACATTTCTGTTCACAAACCCTTCCACCTTTTAGAGTCTGTTTCAGGACTGTATATTTAGTTCCATTGAACTGGCTAGATTTTTGTTCTAGTAGATTTTAAAAACATTTTTAAAACCTTTTCATTTAGTACATGGTAAGACAAGTTGCCCCTAATCACTCCTAGTTTCAAAAACTACCTTGGCTTTTTCTACTTGTGAAACCATTTTGTTAAATTTTTAAAAAGAACAAAAGCATTTAGACAGTTTTCTGTACCTTAGAGTAAGTTTCTGTGGTTTTCTTCATTTGCTCCCACACATTCTTAGATGTTTTGTACTTTTGTGTGTGTGTGTGTGTGTATGTGTGTGTGTGCTTTGCCTGTTATGCATATATCTTTTTTAGGTCATTATATTTTCTATGTAATTATTATTGCTGGTGTACAGTAAAATTTATTTTAGTTTTTCAGTTGGCCTGTTTGGGTTTTCATTCTATAGTCATATTATCCTCAAATAATGCTAAATTTTATGTCCTTTCCAATAGTTATTCTTATTTACATTCTTTGCATACTTCATTAGTCAGAATTTCTAGAGCAATATTGATATTGATAGTGTTGATAAGAGTCATCCTTGTCATATCTATTTTAAATTACTATTCAGGTTTTAATATTGAGCCCACCTTTTTCTCGGGACAAGTTCATGACTCAGATAATTCTACCTTTTTTACTTAGTACTAAATCCCCTATAGCCTATTTCTCTTTGTAACCTCTGTTTTTAATACTCATAATAAAAGACAACCCATAACCCATCCTCTCAGCAAAACAAGAAGAAACAACTTTGTCTTTCCCTATTCCCAGCTTTATTCTAGCTACCATTCCCTCATGCAGAAGGTATTTTGGTCTTTTGGTTGCCCAGAATCCATTTCCCAACTGGAATCCAATTAGCTTTTGAGAACTTTCGCATCCCAACTAGGGATAAACTGTTGGGACTGTAATGAAGAGACTGGCTTTCTGCCTTTCCCCTTAACTAAACAGATGGGTGGATAACCTACACTAAAACTTTCAGAAGGTCTTTCTTTGGAAATTGAATCTTAAACGAAGGGAAAAAGACAGTGATTTTTAGCAGAAAACAAACTAATGAAAACTGTGGGTTTTCATCCTATCCATGTGGTAAGATTGTGACCTGACTGCTCTTGGTGTTGTTGGAATTCTTGCTTCCCAGACTCCGGAGATACCCAAGTATTCGTTTCCAAACTGACTTATCCATTCTCTTATGGATTCCATGAGTCCCAGATAGTCTTCTAATGAATTCTCTGTAGGAGTAGTTTTTGGTTGCATGCACGAAAAGAACTTTAACTTGACATACAATATTACACTAAACACCAAAAAAGCAATTGCAACAACACGACATGACTCTCCTTTCCTAGTCCAGAAAACATTCATTTGAAGCAGTCTCATATCCCGCTGTCCTCTCAAAGAGAAGTATTCATATAAGTTCCCACTCAAGAAGAGATAAAAATAAATGTATTAGCAAGGAGCTTGTTGGAACTGATTTTTTTATAATAATAATATTGCCACCTTAAGAGATCAGTGAAATGGAAGTTCCATCCTGATTTTCAGCTTGGTTATTGAAGTCAATAATTCAATCTTTGGAGAGTCATAAATAATTTTGGCCAAAAAAGTAAAGCAAACCATATAAACTCCTGTAAATTGGTGGATTCTGGTGAATCAGTCTGGTTAATTGTACATTGTCAACCAGAGTGTGAACATTAACTTAAGTGTTTAAAGAATGATTTATATTTTGAAATTTAGCAGACTATAAAGTGTACCAAAGAAAGAATTATTCAGAGAGATACTTTGAATGTTGCACTCAAATAAGCTAGGTGATGTAAGAATCAGACTGAAGATTTTTTTTAAAGATAAAATATATGTGCATTTCCCAAAGTGTTTCAACACAGGTCATTGAGCACATGGTCAACTGTAAACAGGTATTCAGAGAAAGTAAATTTGTCTTTGCCAGGTCCTGACCTTCTGTCCCACATTCCTCCTTCTCCTAAAACCTCTTTCCCAAGTCTCTAAGCTCCCAGTCAATTTATGTTGCTCCAACATTCTAATTTGGTTAGAGTGTTCCATTGAGGCTAGTTCTACTGTAAAGTCATATCAACCTCAGCATCTAATTTGTTTTAGCCTTTGATTTTTTTCAGGAGGAAGAAATCACACAAATTAAAAGTTCTCAGCGTATTTATCAATTAAAGTGATTTAGAAGCTTAAATTCAGCCACTCACAATGGCTTATCAATGGCAAACTTTCCTCTTCATAAATATACCAGTCAGATAAGCATTAACTGCGACGAAAAGCTCTAAAATTTGTTTATTGGTCAATATTTTTAAAATGCAGTGTGTTAAAGTGGCGTTTCTCAACCTTGATTGCTGAGGGGGAGCTGTAATAGAAATAGAAATAACATGGACACGAAGGCCCTATGTCAAGAAAATAAATTCTACAATTAAAATTATACAAAAGAATAGTAGAAGATTTATTCCAAGGTCTATGAGGAAAGAAGTTAACCTGGTGATACCTTTCTGCATTAGTCTGTGATGTGCAATATTTGGCATTTAGTATATTTGAAAGAGTGTGGGAATTTTTATTTCCTTAAAAATAATTTCTATAAAGATACATATACATAAAGTAATTACATATTCTATTCTACAATTCTACATATATACTATTGATATCTATCTGCAAAGTAACTATTTATTGTCTACCTAGCTAATGAACTTGGACTAGCACCTTGTGTAAGCTCTGAGGCATGCTGGTGTAGAGCCAAAGTTCTGAAGCTCCCTGCACAGAGGGACGTCCTCAGGCTTTGGAACCAGACAAGCCTGGGTTCAAGTCCCAGCTTTCCTCGTGGTTCCTGTGCTTTCCCTCCTTGTGTCTTTGCTCCTGCAGCCTCCTTGCCTGAAAAGCCCCCTTCCCTGCAACCCCACCTCCCTTAACTGGCTGACATTTACTCATTTTTAAAAGACTTATCTTGAGGGTTACCTCTCCAGGAAGCTATCTAAATCCCCTAAGACCAGATAGGGGTCTTCTGTGCACTCTCCAAATATGTCTTGCCCTTCCCATCAGTACACTCCCTGGCTGTGTTCACAATGGGGTGTAGATTGCAGAAGTTAAGAGACTGTGTCTTACTCATCATTGTACCCTGTACTCAGGGTACACCTGGCACAGAGAAGTCATTCAATGCACGTTTCTTTAGGGGAATAGATGAATCAGGGATAAAAAAGGTACCCAAGGGGATAGAGCTAATGACAGTTAGAGACAGATTTTAGTCCAAATCTGTTCTGGCTACAAACTCCACTCTCTTTCTTATTTCAGGAAGTGGCGGGGGGGTGGGATATGAAGCAACCATGGGGACTCATAATTTTATCCCCAGCCAAGTTGAAGCAGATGTGCCTGTATGGGTTTAATTCTGGCAATAAATATGTATTCTTTATGAATAGAAAAATATTTTAACAGTTAAGTTATTTAAAAATTTGTTCTGAAACTGCTAACTAGACTTAGCTTATGGGCTACTACCCAGGCTGATGTAAC